AACCGTTGTTATACGAACGGAAGAGTACCAAATAAATGGTTTAAACACCGTATATTTTGATTTTATTTACCAAAATCATGGTTTCTTTACTTGAAATATCATTACGGTACAGTACCGTAATTTTACCAGAATTTTTTTCGGAGTGCAGTGTATTCGATACAGTGAAAAGATATAAAGGATATTCAGAATGTATTTCTTTTAATTATAGCTCTGTGAATATTTTTCTTTAGCTTCAGTTTGAGACTATTCATATGCGAAACCTGACTTCATTACCCTTTCATTAAATAACGATTAAATACATAAAAATGTTAATCTCAAAATAATAATTTTTTTACATTTAAGTCTGAAATTCTCATCTTGCAAAAATGAAAATACTGAATTTTTTTTTTACCCGAAGCGGTCAATTGGTAAGTTCATAATTTCAAATGATTAAATTCGTAATACTTATGAGAAATATTATACAATTTTATTTTATAAATTTCAACTTTCTTATTCTACTAGATAATTTTGAATGTCATTATACAGATTTGGCAGTATAAATTAATGTTTCATGTTAATAGCAGATGCTTTTAAATATAAAATGTTTGAATGTTTTCAAAATATCTGCAATTGTGTTGGCCAATAAAAAATGTGTTCTCATTTCATATTGGGTATGACTTCAATTGTTTTCACTTAAAAAATATAAGTAATTCGATTCGCCAATCAACACTTTTTCTGTTGATCAGTTTTGTACCTTTTAAATGCACGCGCTATCAATACGTCAATGGTACACAATAACTTTTGACGAGAAAAAAAAAGTCGCAGAATGTAGGTTTCATTCTGAAATTAGATTGTTCCCTTCGCATTTTTACGTCACGTCTTGGAAACGTCTCCTTCCATAGTCCTCTCTATAAGGTAGCTAGCTTCGGGTCTAAAAATAAAACCACCTCGTTGCTTTCACACTACAACTACAGAATTACGTTCTTTAGATTTATGCACACTTTTATTTTATAGATCAGTCTTTAATTTACACTTTTACGTTAAGTCACAAAGTAATTATACGTCTTTATTTTATTTCATTTTAATTTACCCACGAAAAACACACTGCAAATAAAAATCCAGTTCCAGTAGTGTACAGTCCGTAAAAAAAAATAAAAAAATAAAAAAATAAATAAGCATGAACAATCCTGAATAAATTTTGATCTCGTGATCGAATCTTCACGTTTTAGAATTCAATCTTAATGGTTCAAGAGAGTGACCACAAATACGCTAATTAATTAGGACAGAAGATATTTCAAATTACGAAATAAGGCACGAAAACGTATTAATAATAATGCTTAATAATAATGTCCATAGGCTTAATAATAATGTTCTTTGAATAAACATCCCTTTTCTTTTTCAAATTTGGATTTCTGACCCCCAAGATGTAGGGGGTAGCCACAATTTGGAAAATATGGTCTCCATAGTTCAGTCAGGAAAGTGATTCAAATTTTGGACCCCTTAATGTTACTTATACCCTTTGCGCATTTCGCCTTATCTCGAGAAATTTTTAAACGAATTGAATTTTTTTACACACAATTACAAAATATCGTTTATCCAAAGATAATTCCATTCAAAAAATAAATTTTAGTAAATATTTGTCTTTTTGTTATATTAATACTTAGGTAATAGTCAAAAAAATTTTGAATTTTAAGGTATATCATTTTTACGTCACTTTAAAATAAGTAATTTTACATGGCAAAATACAAAATTTGAGCATAATCGGTTGAATAGTTCCTGAGACATTGAATTGTAAAAATACGACTTCCTTAGAATTCGATTTCTCAGGAACTATTAAACCAATTTCGCTCAAATTTTTTATTTTGCCATACAGAATCACATACTTTAAAATAACGCAAAAAAATTATATTCCTTGCAAGTTCAAAATTTTTTTGACTATTATTTAATAAAATAATAAAAAATAATAAATATGTTCTAAAATTTATTTTTGCATGGAATTTTATCATGGTTTTAGATTTTATAAAATCGAATTTATGATTAGTTTTAGAAATTGCATCATAATGTGATGTGAAAAGTCGAGAAAAGTAACCCCAAGATTTTTAATAATATCCATACGGCTTATATTGTTAATGTTATATAAGAATATTGAAGATGGAGATTTATGTGTAGAAATAATATAAAGTATTAACATTATACCAATTATACAAGCTATCTAGATGTTGTCTTATACACTTATGTGTCGAATTTCATTATCTTTTCAAAGGCTTTTAGCAAATACTCATTTTTTTTTTGAAAATATGTTTCAAAGTAAAAACATGAATCAATACTAATCATTAATATCACAGTTAATATTAAATAAATTAATAAAAATATTTTTGTAAAGCTATTAATATTTATGAGTTTTAAGAACTAATGTGTTAAATTTTATTAATTTTGTTAAAACAATAAGCATATTTAAGAAAAATTTTCCTTCAGTAATATGTAAGGAGTAAAATATTCTGGTAAAATTACATTACTGCATGTTAATGAAATTTCCGGTAAAAAAAAGCAACAAAAACTCATAATTCAGTTTAAAAAACTAAAATAAACTTCATTTAAACCATTCATTTAGTAATTTTTCCGCTCATATGTAAACAGTTTACGGAAAACTCTGGTTTTCAAAACTATAGTTCTTATAATCACACATTTGGAAAGTAAATACAAAACTGAAAATTAAATTTAATCAAATAAACGATTTTCATTCCATGCTCCAGGTATCGTGATAAATTTGCAAAATTTTACCACATTTACCAATTTTTATTACATATTATAAAACATTATTTTATTGTTAATTTTACGAAATTTATTAACAATCTGTAAGTAATATCGATTTTCTTGTTGCTTCCATTGAGTCTAAAACGCGGTATACTCTGCTAGTTTTGAATATACCGAGTGGTACAAAGTAAACAATTATTAAAATAGATATTTTTTTGATGAGGAGAATGTTTTTTGTTGTATTTTATTACTGTGCATAAAAAATTTGTGATTCGTGTAATTTATCACTTTAAAGTGGTAGATACAAATACAATTAATATACACCCTCAAGTCACACTATTTTCTTTATTATCATGCCAAGAGATATTATACTGTCGTTATAAATTTCTGGCACATTTTCCTCTTTTCTAATGCATATCTTTTGAAAAAAAAACTCCATTGTGACCATTCGATCATTTTTTTGAAGAGTTTAAATTATAATTCTTAAAGGAAAATATTTCAAATTATGGCCTTGAAAATTAAATGTGACCTTAGGAATCAGGAATATTTACGGAAGTTAAATCTGGGAAATTCATAAATCTGAATTGAAATAATAACATAACATAACAACGAAAATGGTATGCCTATATTCTCTTCTAATTTATGCCAGACATATCTCGCTTAGAGACTTAAAACCGTCTAGACACTGCCAAGGATGAAAAACAAAATTTCTGATTTAAAAGCCAAAACTTGGGTAAAGTATTTGGAAGTCATTTTACACATATATGTATACACATTTTTTCATAGAAATATCAATTTTAATATACATAAGACGACTTAAAAAGTGAAACTATTTAGGCGATTTCAGCTAGCTCGGGAGTGAAGTACGATACACAAAATAAAAGCAAAAGCGAACACCATAACTTTTGATCTAACGATCCGATTGTCACATTTAGGACTCCAACTGATGGTCCGAGGGTCTAACACTAATATGCTAATTAATAAGTAGTGACAATGTTTTAAGTTTCGAAATCATAGACTAAAACGTGCTTTCTCAAAATAAACATACTTCTTTTCAACAAATTTGGATTCATAACCTTAAAATTTTCAGGTTAGCCGCAATCTGGGAAATATGTTCCCATTAGTTTAAGTAATGGTTTAAAGTTAAGGCCCTTTAATATGAATTATAATTTTCTCGCTTTTCGCAATGTCTTCAGTACTAATGCCGCGGATCGAAAAATTTTCCACATAATTATTAAACTTGGTTTTCTCTGTAAAACATTGTTCTTTTTCTTAAAATTATTTATAATTTTTTAATATTTAATTTACTTATGGACTGAAATTGAGGTATGTTAAATTTAGTTTTTGAATTTTTCCAAATCTATAACCTATTATAAAATTATAAAATAAAGCATTCCTGCAACAGTCCGTTGCGTGGGCCAGGGGTTTCATGGAGGTTAAGGCTCAACAAATTCATGGATCACTGATCACTATGGCAATGTGGTCAGCATTGCTCACAGGTCACCTTTACTTCACGGAGAACCTGATACTCATCGACCTCCAGATGGGTGAACCTTTAACCACCGCTGATTATCGAACCCCAGTCCTTTACAATGATAGTTCAATGTCTAAACCACTGAGCCATTGCGGCTCAGAACCTATAGTGGAAGAATAGTTTGTTTCAATTAAAGTTTAAAACTGAAAACTACTGCGAAATTAATTAATAACGACTGTAGATGTTTTATTTGAAAACTTCTAATAACTATTGACTTGAAATACCGATTATAGATTATATACCAATCTATAACGAATATTTTATTTCGCAACGACTAACGACTCTAAGGAAGGATTATGGAAATTTCATGGAAGTTTAAATTTGAATGTTAGAAAACGATTATTTTGAATCTTCTACTCATTGAATTATTTTATAAGAAAGCAGTTTTCTTTTTTTACTCACTTTAAAGTTTCATTTGTGAACAAAATGATATGTTCTAATTTATTTTAATTTGTGCTAATTTTAACATATTTGCAATAAGAAATACGTTAAAATATAACTGATAATAGCCAGAAGTTATTTTATTTTCATTCCTGGAAACAATAGTTTAAATGAAAATACTTTTTTATTCCTGAGGAACCGGGTTAATCTCAGGTATTCTGGAAGTTCAAAAGAAGTTTTTTCAGTCGAAGTTCATAAAATATCTTGGAACCGAAGGGCGACTTTATTTCCAACTTGCCGCGGAAAGAAAATATTTAACCTCATGTTTTTCTTTTAGCTAAGAATATCGGAGAGCAAGACGTTAAGGGGAAACTTCAACCGATTGGAGGATACATTCGGCCTATGCCCAATCAGGAGTTAGGAAAATGATCCCAGCGTAAGCCTTCTCTAAAGTTATGTTTTCCTAAGAGTTTCTTCGGTGTGGAACAAGTGCTCTGAAACCATCCTCACTCCTTGAGGTTTCTTCTAATTCTTTTAGCAGGTAATTATACGTTTTTTACTTCTGTTTTAATAAGTTATTCAGTTATAAGATTATTTTAATTGTAAAACAAATATTTAAATTTAAAATATATCATGTATTTGATATTTTTTTTTTCGAATATAATGCTTATACGTAGTTTTATTTTGCTTCTTTTACTACAAGCCTTGATAATAATTTAAAAAATTTAAAACATTGCAGTTTCAGCAATAAAAGCTGTGAAACATTTTCAAATACCTATTTTATTAGATTTTGTGAAATAAAATTTTTACATAGTAACTTTACGTTAGTATAATATACAAATGTATGATTTTTATGTTTTTGTGCTGTTTTTATGTGTATTACTATTTCACTTTACAAAAAACTTTAAAAACTTATTAAATTACAAAATAAAGCTCATAGAATAACATGCAAGCAGTTAAAAAAATTATTATGTTTTATTTAATAAAATTTTTTTCTATCATCAAAGTTTCGTTTCTAACTTTATTTGCATTGAAACAGCTTAAATAATGAAATTAAAATATATTTGTGAAATTAAATTGCTTTTTAAGAATTATGCAGCTTAACAAGTTGTTAAGTTGTTATTCAAATGATTAAAAATAAGTANTGTATTTATATATATATATATAATTGTATCAGCTCATATGCCATACTATCCAAAATTTTTGCAAAGGTAAGTGAATTGGAATTTAACAATCATAGAAACTTTGTATTTGTTCAAAGTTAAATTTATGAGTTTAAAATTAGTTTTACCATAACCATATCTTTTAAATTTTATTACGAACTTCAGAAACGCGTATTATTTCTACTAAAAAAATCACTAATATTTTTGGTATGCATAATTTTTTGGTATAAAATATAGTCGAGAACCAGTCTTGTTTTTCTTTAAGCTCATATATTTGTACTGTGAGTGAAAAAAACTGCATGTACTATAATTTTACTTGCAACACTGAATGCTTTGATTATTCTTGAAGTGAAAATTGAACAGATATTTATTTGTTTATTTTTTTGACTGCGGATGCTCATATTAAGCAGCATCGTGTAAAAATTATGACCATTTTGTATTTGTCAGGTCCCTTCTCAAATGCTAATGCAAGAAAATGTATGTAAATAAATGGAACTCAATTTTTTATCCAGTTCAATTTTTTAAATAGCTTTGACTAAGTATATGAATAATTTATAAATAAATATTTTATTTTGTTTTGTACACAGAGACCTTCTGTTGCCTTTAGCTCTTACAAGCGTTACGCTGAATTAAAATTTTTTTATGCTTTTTAAATTTTCAAATATGTGTATAATTTAATGGAATGTCTTTATCTATTTAGTTTAGATGTTTTAATTTCAACATTTTTAATTAATGATTTTTTTTTTCAAAAATTGTACACTCAGTATCTACGTTTACTGTCAGTATTTATCTTATGACTTCAAAAGGGTTTTCGTATAAACATATACTTATGATTATTAAAATATTTTTTATTTTTAAATAAAGCAAAGAAAAGTTTTTAAATTCATCTCATATAAAATTGCTTACCTTTTTAAAATGACAGATATAAATTTCAATTTTTATAAATTTTAACAAAAATTACCAAAATTCAGTCCATGAGTCAGTGATTACTTCCATTCGCTGCTATAATCATTTGACGATTTTTTGATAGACCTTCAAGAGAGAAATAACATTTCCTTATTCACAAGCAAAAATAAGCACAAAGTTTGAATTTGATACTTTTATAAATATACATCTAGAGCATCTAAATCAATATTCGTGATAACAAAAATCATAATTTCTTATCTAATGATTAATAAATAAGGAACTCGAGTTATAGATTGACCGTCACGAGAATAACTCTTTTAAGGAGCTTTACTTGGAAATGAGAAAAAAATTGGTAGCAAAACTGTTTGACGCTTGTTAGCGGAAGTAGAAAAAATCCGCGACTTCCATATTAATCAACTCATGTTATAACTGTTTTAAATCATTATTTTTAATACTATCGAAAACATACACGAAAAGTAATGATTTTTACTAGTACAGTTTTTTCCTATTTCGGTTTTATTCTCCCCGCGGAAGTTTTTCTCGTGACGCTGACTTAACAGTACTTAAGTATTAAATGAAACTGATCAGTTATTGCGACTCTTTTAACGCAATTCGTTGTCAAAAACCTTGTGAAGTATATAGAAAAATAAACCGTAAAGGAAATCCAAACTCGCTTATATATGTATAGTCTAAAATTCAAGGACCTCATACTGTTTTGGATTTATGAATTATCTGTTACTTTTATTCGTTAAGAATTATTTATTACTTTTAATGGAATTATCTGTTTCTTATTTCACGATTTCGTTAATATTTTTTTTTAATTTTTGGAACTTTAATTCAAATTTGATAGACAGATTAATTATTTTAAAATTTTTACAGCAAAATAAATTTAATTTTCCGTTTTTTTTATCTTTTTATTTAAGGAAATGATTCATTGAAAAAAATATCCTAAATTCATAAAGTAATGTGAATCTACAAAAAAGTACCTAGAAAATTCGTGAAAATGTTACGACCATGGATTCTGATATTCAATTAATGATAATAATAATTATTATGAATATTATTATTAATAATAAGTATAATAAGTATTTTTACTTTCTTTCTTCAAATAAATTAAACAAGTATTTATTTAGTTTTTAACTTATTTATGAAAAAAAAGCTAAAAACGTTGCTTTTATGGAATAAATATCATAAACGTGAAAGTTTCTCTTAGGCATTGTGCGTCACCTAATGGTTTGATTGGATTGTTCAAGGGTTTGTACGGAAAAGGTTCCGAGGTCAATCATAGAACTGACTTGGTTAGATTAGTAGTGGATGCAATAATGGTGGCTAAGCATTTGTGTCAGGTTAAAGTTAGGAAAAGGGGTTAATATTTTTGACGTTGATTATCTTTTTTTGACAGACATTACACAGTTATTCACATTTGATATTTTCTTACTCAAGAAGAGCTAAATCCAAACAATTCTCCAGAAAGTTCTTACGACTTTCAAACGACATGGTCGGTAGTATCAGTCTCTATCTCAAGTCTTTTCTAATATCACCTCACATTTATGGAATAACAGAATAAAACGACGGAATATCATTTGTGCTTATCGTCTATGTACGTAAAACTGTTTAGGATGTAATGTTGCATAACATAAAAATTGGAATCTGCCATACTACGCAAAACGTAAACGATAATATGAGCAAAGAGTACTGTGAACTGATAACGCAAACAAAACAGAAAAAAAAGAGGGCAGGCTCTGAAGCCAGTTCGGATTCATGAGACTTGGACTTACCTGAATTAAAATCAGCTCCCTGAGGGGCCTATATACATCGGATACCTGTCAGCTGTACCGAATCTGATTACGCCACCTTCACTGTCATATCTACTATACTAAACATGACTTAAATAAAACAGTAAGGAAGTTTTCTGATTAAACTACGGTTGCAAAATTTATAGGAACTTTTGTTTTGTTGATTTTATAATAAGGACATTATTCTGTTGTATTTTTCGGTGAAAAATTGACACTTTACTATATTCAAAGGCATTAAGTAATCGAAAAAAGTTTATGGTTCGGAATATTTATTATAATATTTTTAGTAATGTTGGAAAAGAACTAAAATCTCTTTGGTATACAGACTAATGGATGATCAGAATTGATAAGACATTATAAATGTGTTTAGCAATTTAGGAGCACAAACTCAAAACAACTATTCTTTACTTTTAATATCCAGTTTCTGAACTGCTTTGGTAAATGTGTTCTGTGGCTGAGCACTGTTGAAAATTAACAGAGGGGAAATTGGGAAGCCTCGGGATAAAAAAAGAGGAATTGTGCTTTGATGCGAATTGATGCGATAGACGGAACCACAACGAGCTCCTCATTGTAACCCGCAGACTACTGCAAGCTCAACTGAATAAATTTCGCTGAACATTGAAATTTGTAGCAGATGATAAATGGTGAAAGTAACTATATATACAGATGTGTAGAGATAAAAAAAGTAGATTTTTTTCGGTAAAAAATGTATTGGGCATATTTTGATTGCCTGCATTTTGAATTTTGATGACTCATGGTTTGGCTCTATAGATAAAATAAAAATAAAAGCTAAAAAAAACAATTATATATCAATTATTCGTTAACTTTTGTAATAAATGTGGTTAAAACTATAAATCAAAGAACATTTTTGAATTAACGGGTTCTGCAAGAGTTGAGTGTTGCCTTTATAATGGAACATGTGTATGGCAATATTACCGACATTGGATATTCATTCTTGGACAAAAAGTTGTATCTTCAATGCTTAAATCGTGCTTTTTGCTGTTGATAAGTGCAGCAGAAAATGGTAAATGTAATATTATGGCTATGGAAAAGAATCAATTTTCAGATACATTATCTCGTTGCTTTCCATTTATCATTCGGTTTCATAGTTTCTACCATTCGGTTACCATACATTTACGCGTGTTTAAACATGTCAAGCTAAAGTTTCAGATCAAAATATTAAAAACTAACGCAGTAAGGTAGGTTTAAAGGAATATCTCTGTTTGAGAGTTGGTGTTTCAAAAGAGTTGGTGTTTCAAAAAGATTTGAGTTCAGAAAAACTTTGGGATAAATTGAAGATTTCTTTTTCAAATTTTGAATGGATATTTAATTTGATAGGCTAATGTCATTTCTGTGGAAAAAACTTTATTCAATATTTTCTTTGAAGAATTTGTGGAATCATATAAACTGAAGTCAAATTTACTACTTACTAAGTGCCTGACTCTAGTTTCTATAAGGTTTTAGTGTCAGCTGATTGTTACGTATCTAGTAACAAAGTTTTAGACTAAGTCTCACTTTTTTAATTTTCATTCACCTTATTCCTAACACTAGTTCTCTACATAATTATCAGATAGCAGTACAATAAGAGACATTTATAACCTTCTCTGAATGATATGAATGCATAGATTTATACTAATTTGAGCTATTATAAGTCTGCTATGACGTCCTGTTATGAC